CAACATATTGGTGTAAATCATATATTCAAGAAGAAGAGGGATGAAGGATGGAGAACAAGTCGAACCTAGGATGAAGGATGAAAGAAGTAATGAAATTGGTTAGATTAGTCTTTGATTGATCTCAGTTAATTGAAGAGAAACATTTAATTTTATGATTTTGTTGAATAAAATTAAGTTTTAGGTTTAAATGTTAGTTTAGATATTTTGTTCAAGTAGATATTTATGTCAGTTTAGGTTTAACAAATATTTATGTTAGTTTTGGATATTTTGTTTAAGTAGATATTTTAGGCAAAATATATGGGATTACATATTTAGGAAGTTAAAACAAAAAACTCATTATGAACCTATAAATACTTAGTTGTATCATTAAATTTTCACAACACAAAAAAGAAATAATATTCAGCTTCTTCAATCTCTTTGTTATCATGATCTTGTACTAGTTCAATGTAAATTGACGTTAGTTAGTTATATTCTGATGTAAATTTACATCTCCCGTATTGATATTAAAGTTTAGTCAGACATAAAAAACTCCAAAATAACATGTAAAAAATCTCTTGTGTACTAGTGATTATATGTGATAAAATTTTCATCACGCCAAAATAAGACTAACATTGCTAATGATTACAATACTACTATTATTTTAAAGGATGTTTCTCTTTGACATCTTAGACTAGAGCATGTTTCCAATTCTATTTTACAAGTTATTTCAAAACAATTTCTTTTTATTTCTCGTTGTATGAATGTTTCCTCTTATGAAATTTTCCATTTTGTCAAGCAATGAAAATTGTCACATTACAGATGTGAACACATTTCAACAAAGCTTTTGACACTCTTTATGGAAATATTTAAAGACACATTTCCATAAAGCTTTTGACACTCTTTATGGAAATATTTAAAGACCATATTCAGTACCTTCTTTGGTTGGTCATACATTTTTTTCTTATCTTATTTGATGATTACTCTTGTTTTACTTGGATCAAATTAATGAAAAATAAATTAGAAAAAAAGGAACATTTATCACAATTGATTTTCTTGATTAAAAATTAAGTTAATACTAAGTTAAAATGTCTTAGAAATGATAATGAAGTAGATATTTTGTTGAATGATTTCTTTACTTCAAAAGGAATAATTTCATCAAAGAAAATGCATTGATACTCCTCAACAAAATGGTATTATCAAAATAAAGCATCAACACATTTTAAATGTAGCTAGAGGTTTATTTTACGAAACTAATTTACCCTAAACCTTTTTGGAATTTTGCCATACAACAAGCAGTTCACATTATCAAAAGACTACATACTACATTACTAAAATTAAAGTGTCCTTATAAATTGTTGTGTACTCAACTAGCATGATTCATCTAAAAGTTTTTGGTTTCCTAGCCTTTGTTAGTAAACTTTAGTCTCACTCTCACATAACAAAGTTTCAACCTAGATCGAGAAAAATTGTGTTTTTAGGATATAGGAAATATAATAAAATGGATATGTCTTGTATGATCTCCAATATCATCAAATTTTTATTTCAAAAAATATCATTCTTTATGAATTTGTGTTTTACTTTACAACATCAACTTCTCATACAAATGTTCATCCTAAAGACCAACTCTCTAACATTGCATTCACAAAAAACTCATATTACCCATATATCCTTGTTGTTACTATTTATTTCTAGTTGAAACTACTTCCATTGTGTCTAGTGAGAAGAGTCTTACAACACAATAACCTACAATGCCAGTCTTCATAGAATCCATCACCTAACCTACTAGACACTCCACCAGATTAGGCATAACATTCTTATTTAGCATATTGTCACTATAATTTTATGGTTGTCCCTAGCTATTTCAGGAGTCCTTCTATAGGTACTCATGTTTACCCTCTTTCTTCTATCATTGACTATAAAAATTGTAATAGTTATAAAATATTTTCCCCTTTATTACTACTATTTTTGAATCCAAATTTTATATCCAAGTCTCTAAATTGGATTGTTGGCAAAAGACCATGAATGTTGAGTTACATGATCCCTTGTTTATCTTCCAAAAGGTAAGAATCCAATTGGTTACAAATGGGTCTACAAGGTTAAGTATAATGGTGATAAGATTATTTAAAGGTACAAGGCTAGATTAGAAGCCAAAGTCTATACACAAATAGAAGGAGTGGAACACCATGACATTTTTTACCTATTACCAAAATCACTACAATGAGAGTATTACTTGTTGTGACAATAATTAAAAATTGGTTCTTAGAGCAACTAAATGTTAATAATGTTTTCCTTCATGGAATGCTTCATGAGGAAGTTTATTTCCTCTTGATTTACTTTTATTTAGTTCTTCTAAGGTTTGTAGGTTGCACAAATTCTGTTATAGTATAAAAATAACACCTTCTCTATCACTCTTCTTTCACTCAATTACAAATAATTAGACCAAGTGTTGTTTATTAAATCCACTTTTACTTTCTTTACTACCTTATTGGTTTATGTAACTGATATTATTTTAGTTGACAATGATATGGTAGAAATTCATATCAAATTTTAAATTAAGTACCTAAGATCATTAAGATACTTCATAGGCCTTGAAATTACTAGGTCCAAATCTGAAATTCACATGAATAAAAAAATATGCTCTTGAAATTTTGGATGATAGTGGTTTGATTGGTTCTAAATATGCTAAAACTCTGTTTGACCATTCTATCAAATTTCAAGTTGATAAAGGTTAACTTTTTTTCTAGTGCTACTGGTTATAGCTTATTAGTTGCTAAAATGTTATATCTCACCATCACCGGTACAAATATTGCTTATTATGTATAAAAATTGAATTAATTTATGTCCAATCCCCTTGATACTCACTTACAAGGCTACTCCTAGGGTCATTACCTAAAAGGATCACCTCTCAAGACTTGTTTTTCTCTACTTCTTCTACACTCATATTATCATGTTTTGTCAATTCAAACATGTTGTTTGGATACCAAGAAAATCTATCACTGATTTTTGTGTCTTTCATGGTTCTTTCTTTATTTCTTAGTAATTGAAGAAGCAAACTATTGCTTCCTATTCTTTGTTTGAAATAGAATATAAAACATAAGTCAACCTCACTTATAAAATCTAATGATTAGATTTTCTCTTTCATAATCTTCATGTTTCTTTTGGATCCCACTTTAATATATTGTTATAATAAATATGCAATCTACTTAATTCACAATTGTGTTCAATCTCCCTAGTTTCAATTTATTAATTGTTATTAATAATTAATTACTTTCTTTTAGTTATTTTTTCTTTCATTATTTATTTTATTTTATAACTTTATATAAGTTTTTGACATTCTTGTTAATAATGTAAAAGAGTTGTGAAAGATGATTTTCATGATCAGGTTTATTAATCTAATTGAAAAAATATATTGAAGAGTTTAATTAATGTAGTAAAGAAGAGTGGAAAAATTAAAAATTTATGAAAATCAGTAACTAATTCTCTTTGTTTCAATTATTATCATTCATTTATATATTTAAATATAACCAAGAAATATATCCATAAGAATTCTAATCATTTTAACAATTAATAGTAAATTTATTCATCATATTTGATCGATTTAAAAAACAAAATCAACTTTTGAAAGGAATATGATGTAATTGGACAAATTAAAATTTCAATTCCAATAATTATAATGAATTATAAACTATTAAAATATTGAAAAATCAAGTGGCAATAAAAAAAATCAAGAATTAGACTGGAAAATAAACCTTATAAAACTAAAAAGTCATTAAAAATTATATCAAATTTTATAATATAAAAATAAATAATTATTTATTTTCAATTTTATTATTAATTAAATAAATTTGAACCCTCGCATCTAAACCTTTACAGAAGCACCATCAATCGCATGTACGGATTAATAAAAAGTAACAACGGTTGGATTGGGAGTTGATTCTTCATGAGATCCAATTGTATCTCATTTTCAAATACCTGTCTAGCTGTTCCTCCTCCAAAAAAGTTATCTGTAGTTGCCACCTATGTTTAAATAAACGAAGTTGCTCGTATAAATCCCTCTTTTTCTAATGCAATTTTCTCTTTCTTTTACATTAACAAACAATTCAGCATGCACTAGTTACTTGTTTTTGAGTAATCGTTAAAGATGATATTAGCAAGTAAAATATTCTTTATGTTAGTTGAAATTTTTTGTGATCACTTTGTAAGTAAATAACATTCATGAACTTTAAACCTAATTAGCTAATACTTTTTAATTATTAAATATAAAAATATATTTTGTATTTAATGATAATTTAAAAGTTTTATCGAAATTTTTTGATAAATTTGAATTATTTTTTCTCTGATAAAACATTAAAATAAAGTAATTGTTAAAAAGTTTCTGAAAATAATAAATTTCTTATCCAAACTTATTATAAAATTACTCTCAAAAACTATTTGTGGCTCTACCCGAAACAGCAAAATATGATCAATTGATGTTTAAGGATTGAGAATTAACGAGTATCAGTCTCTTCGTACATGATCTTTCTTAGGGATTCTCTATAGTTTAAAGGCTACAACTGAATAACTGTGACTCAATATATTTTTAATATAGAGGTTAATCCAATTCCACCATTAAATGTACTGTACGATGAGTATACGATCTAAATTTGAGTTAATGAGTTTATGATATAATTTTTTAAATTTTTATAAAAAATAATATCATTTTTTTATAAGATTTTTTTATGTGCATTCGTGACAAATTCAGTGATATTATATTGTTTTTATCATATCTTATATTGACATGACGTGTGATTTCCAACAAAATGACTGTTTCGTGGTCGATAATATTGAGGTTGTTTGCAAAAATAGACATGAACAAACCTGGCTACTCACATAAATTCCCTGGAAGAAAGAGTTTAGCTTGAAACAACCTAGGTCAAAATTAAAAATAGCAAAACATGAAAAGTTAAAAACTTGAATATGATAAAAACTTGAAATCACGATGAAATGGATGAAGAGCTAAAACAAATGATATTTGCTGCATGTCACGACAATGAACGAATACTCCCCACCATGTGATTGAGAAACTGGCAAATTGGCCTAAGACAATCCCTGAAAGAGTTTACAGCAGAAACCCTCCATCGTGAATAGGAAGCAGTCTTGTTCCTGACCCTTTCCCAGAAAGACACAAAGCAGTTTTGGTTTCTGGTCACCAGCAATGCTGCAGATTGAAGGTAAACCGAAGCTGCACGCTTGACCAACTCGTTTCTGATAGCAATGGTGGAGTCAAAGTCATTTCCCTCATACAAGGTCATATAACTTGATGGTGTGTTACAGATGATGTCCTTCAGGCTCGTGTATTGCAAATTGTCAAAGATTTCTGAGTCTCTTCTTGTTGAAGAGCTTCTGGGAATTCTCAGTGAACGTACAGTCTGAATCTCTTCTATCTGTGTTTCCATTGTTAACAAACCCCATTGGACACTGAATTGCATCAAAACGAGGCCATGCTAAAGATAGTACAATTTCGTTTTCTGAAAATAATGTGTCGAAGTTTTCAATTCACTTTGGTATATTGTGGGGTTTAGAATTGAAAGGGATGTGCATTAGTTATAGATTTCTAAATCTGGAGCAAAAGGATCCCGTGAGGCAGAGAGAATTTTGTGGAACTACCGAGTATACGGGCTTCCTTTGATATAGGGAAATATTACCTAAATATAGAGTTCAATTAAATTTGGAGACTTATTAGGGTTTACTCAGTGAACTATACCAAGAAAACACCCTTATTTCCTTCACAAACTTAGTGCATGTATGTCGTGTTTTTGTCATATATTTTTTTCAATATCACGTGGAGGATTGTTAGGAGTAATTTTAATGTAAAGTCAATGAATCTGACTTTTTAATGTTAACATTATATTTGAATAAATCATAGAATAATAAATATAAAATTTAAATTAAGCAATATTTTACTATATTTATTAAAAAATGAATACGTAATTATCCAATAAGTTGTATATATTATTTTAAAGAATTTGTATACTAAAACAAACACAACCTAAATTTATCCCAAGTAGCCTAAATTTATAATTTTATCCCGCTAAAATCAATCCCTTGGTTGATCGGGGTAAAGACGAGATAATTCATATTAATTAATATCACATCTTTTTTAAATATAAATGATATCTTGTTTTTAACTTAATTGAGAATACTTTCACAATATAATATAACACTGTAAAATGAACAATATGAATAAATATAATACTTGAAACTAAAATATAATTAAAGCAACTGGCTTTAAATAGAAAAAAATATGATTCTAAAACTAATTATATATATATATATATATATATATATATATATATATATATATGTGCGCCCAAGAAATATATTTTTATTATTAAATAAAATTAAAATTTATACAAAATATCACAATAAATTATATATTACTATCATTTTATATTTACTAGTTGTTTTAATATATAATTTTAATCAGAAAACATATATTTTAACTACCTAAATTAACAGTTCTCAATTAGGAGGGTTTAAAAGTCAAATAGCTTTTTTTTTTTTTTTTTAGCTTAGATGATGTGTGTGTTTAAGAAAACTTGAAGAATATAAACTTTTATTGTCTGATATGAAATAAAATATTAATATCCTATTTATAAAATACAAGATATATTAGTAGGAAATTAAAATATTTTACAATTAATACCAAGTTTTAATAAAATAATATAAAATATGTATAATGATATTTTTTTAAAGTAAATAAAAGGAAAATAAATATTAACACCGTTCTTCAAGGTACATATATCCAACTTGACAAGATATTTTGAGAATACTTAATTGATATTTTGAATGAATGGTAGTCAATTTTACATTTTTCTTTTAAATTTTCCTTGATAAAGAATCTAACCACTTCAAAATATTTTGTTTGATCATGTTATACTAGATTATGAGTAATATAATTTTATTATCACAATATAATATAATATGTTGTGTGGAGGAGTATCCAAAATCTTGTAAAAGAAATTTTAGCCATAAACCTTCACAAATTCCAAATGTTAAACCTCTAAACTCGGCTTCTGTGCTTGACCAAAAGATCACACTTTATTTTTTTTTTCTTATCTATGTAACAAGATTATCACCAATAAATGTAAATGATACAGCCTAATCAATATCAGTATATACATCAATTTATTGATAATTTATATTTTTTATAAATTATAATCCTTTTTCAGGTATTGACTTTATATATCTTAAAATGTTCATAACTGCATTCATACATTGTTTCCCAGGATTATGTATAAATTGGCTAACAATATTTAATGCGTAGGCGAGGTTTGGTCTTGTGTATACTAAGTACATCAATCTTCCTACAAGTCCTTATATCTCGATTTATTAACCAGGACTTGATCTAATGTAATAAATAATTTCAAACATTCCTCCATTGGTGTATTTGTTGGGTGATAAGCCGACATACCTATTTCTTGTAACAAGCCTAAGACATATTTTATTTTATATAAAAAAATTCCTTTCTTGGTCTGTATACTTCAATCCCAAGAAAATATTTTAAGGAACCAAGATCTTTCATTTTAAACTCATTTGATAAATAACTTTGTAATGCTTTATTTTTTTTTCTTGATCATTTCCTATAACAATCATATCATCCATATAAACAATAAGTGCAAATATCTTATCTTCTTGTTTCTTCACGAATAAAAGGTTATCTAAATTACTTTAATGATATCCAAATGTTAGTTATAGATTTTGTAAACCTTCCAAACCATACTTACAGGATTATTTCTATTCATGCAATAAGGATTTTTTCCAATTTGCATACCTTTCTATTGCAATTTTTAGGTACGATGCATCTTGGTGGGAGTTCCATATATACTTCTTCAGTCAATTCCTCATGTGGAAAATCATTTTTTATATCAAACTACTTCAATGATCAATCCGTATTTGCTGCTAAAGATAATAATACTTAAACAATATTAATTTTTGCTACAAGAGCAAATGTCTTTGTGTAATTAGTCTCATATGTTTGGGTATAGCCTTTTGCCACCAATCATGTTTTAAATCATTCTATTGTACCATTTTTTTGTGTTTGACAAAATAAACTCATCGACATCCTATTAATTCCTTTCTTAGTGAACAATCAAGAAGGATCGAAGTTTTATTCTTTTGAAGTGAGTTTATTTCCTCATTCATAATGGTCTTTCATTTTAGGTTAGCTAAAACTTCCGACATTATTAGGAATAACTATAATAGATAATTGATTCATAAATATTTTATTTATTTTTGACGAGTATATGATTAAATATATAATTATTCATAGGATTTACTAGAAAGTTCAGATTCATAAGTTTAGGATTATCTCTAATGAGACGATTTGACAATTGTTTTCTAACCAACAAATTATTGGTAACATTTTCATCAATAATTTCATGTGGTATTTCGATATCATCTCCATGTAGAAGTTCACATAATTTTTTAATGTAATCCCAGTTAAAGGATTTTTGTGGTGATTCAATATTATCTTTATTAAGATATTCTTGTCATGTTTCAATGTTATCTCCAGTGAGAGTTTCTTGTGATATTATCTCTTAAAGGATGATGATATGAAGTTATATCACTTAAATCCATATATTCTAAAGTTTATAGATTTTGGTTCCCTCCCAAAAATAAAATACATGGTATCTTCATGAAAAGTCATATATATTGTTATATACATATGATGAGTAGGAGAATGATAACACCTATAACCTTTTTTTTACAACATATCCAACAAAAACACATAGAATGGTCTGTGGGTCCAACTTGTTGCATTGATGCTTATGAAGATGAACAAATATAACACATTCAAATATACAATGGGTAATTTTCAAAAAGTGTTTTAAACTCAATAAAACTTGAATTTGAATAACAGAAGGAACTAATTTCATTTTAGATGTATCAATTTTTTTTCCATTTAAAGGTTTTAAAAGATTCAAGATCTAAATGATCATCACTATTTAATACCAACTTGAAAAATATAAATGACAATATATTCATTCTTTAATATGAAATAAAATATGTACATCTTATACAAAACGTGTACCGAATTAGTTATTAAGAAATTAAAATATTTTACAATTAATACCAAATTCTAATAAAATAATATACAATCTATAAAATTATATTAAAAAAGAAAAGAAAAATAACTCTCAACAAAAAAAATAATGACAATATTCCATAAAACCCATAACCTTAGAAAATATAACGAAAATGATTTTGTTTAAGATCAACAGAGCAATTTGATGATGCTGCCACGCAAAACTCTGATTTTTTTAAGAACGAACGAGCAATAAACACATCAATGGAATTAATATAGATCTGAGTATTGTAATAGGACATTTAGTTTAATTTATACCATACACACCAAATTAGATAACTTGTATCTTATTAAATTTATTACTTTATACTTATAAATCATAAAAGTTCGACTAAATTCAAAAATCGATCATGATTTATATAGTTTAATTATACTTTTAGTATATAAAACTTAATATAAGTGATTTTCTAGTTCTCAAAATTTTAAAAATAAATCATTTTAATTCCTCGAGTTAAATAAAATATGATTTCAATCCATAAATATTAAATTTTAAAAAATTAAAATAGTTTTAAAAAATATTTTAATCTTTGAACTTTATTATTTAGAGACTAAAATCACTTTTTTTTATATTAAGACAATAAAATATTTTTTAAAATATAAAGAATTAAATCAGAATCATTCTAAATTTAAGGAAGTAAGCATATAATTAAATCTGATTTGTATTAAAGAAAGGACATCAATGAATCGTCAATTTTAATATTCTAAAATTTCTATTGCATTATATTTTGTTTTTCCTTTTCTTTCATTGTAGTTTATACGTTCTAATTCTAATGGGTTTGAAAAACAAAACCTTTTTTCTATTTACAAATTGTACAGAGTCTTTTGGGCTGAATACTAATGAATTGATTAGTGGGCTACAAAGTGATGTTTGATAAACCTGATGGCCCAGTTTTCTAAGACCTTAACTCTAAGACATACTCCTAGTTATTGTTCAGGAAAGTATTTGTCTTTGGTCAAATATGTTTGACCCTTTATTTATCATCTAGAGAAAATTTTAATAATATAAACATTATCCTCATGAACTATCAACATTATCCTCATGAACCATCTTGTAAGTTAGAAATGACTTTTCATATGACTATTATATTTAAATAAGACACATGTGATTTTACAAAATGAAAAGTGACTACTTGTAATTGTAAATCTTGAAAAACTTTTGGATGCATACATCTTTTACATCTTTAGTTTGCTAGTAGATTTTGACTTTTTTACAAAGAGAAAAAACAAATTCACTAAACACACAATTGAACCCTGACTTTGTTGTTTTAAACAATATTTATTATCACTTTTGTGTCATTGTGGGACTTA